GGGACTTACACAACAGAAATTTACTTCTTCATGATTCTAGAGGCTGGATGTCGGAGGTCAAGGTGTCAGCAGGGCTGGTTTCCTGAGGCCTCCCTCCTGGGCTTGCAGGCGACCACCTTCTCCCCATGTCCTCCCTGGGTCTTCCCTCTGTGCGCCTGTGTCCAATCTCCTCTTTTTATAGGGACGCCAGTCGTATTGGATTAGTGCCCACCTGATGACCTCATTTTCACTTAATCATCTCTTTAAAGACTCTGTCTCAGATCGTCATAGTCTAATGCACTGGGGGTCAGGACTTCCACACATAAATCCGGGCGGTGTGACTCAGCGTGTGACAACCCGTGGCTGTCGGTATCATTCTGCTGCTCACCGCTGGGAACTGCCCTCGCGGCTCCCTGTCCTTCCTCCACGCCCCATGAATTCCCGAGCACTTCTCACTTTCCAGTGCCACAGAAGGTGCCAGGCACACCTTGTCCTTTTCCAGAAATGATGTGCTTCTCCCAGGGGCCTCCGGGCGGTGTGACTCAGCGTGTGACAACCCGTGGCTGTCGGTATCATTCTGCTGCTCACCACTGGGAACTGCCCTCGCGGCTCCCTGTCCTTCCTCCACGCCCCATGAATTCCCGAGCACTTCTCACTTTCCAGTGCCACAGAAGGTGCCAGGCACGCCTTGTCCTTTTCCTGAAATGATGTGCTTCTCCCAGGGGCCCCCACTCCTTTCACTGGGGAATCGATGGTGAGCACCCCGAGGGTGACTGTTTCAGGCTGGATTCCGAGACCCTCTGCTCGGGCCCAGGCTCGGATCTGAGTCCCGTTTTCAGATGAGTGAGATTCCATAGTGAGTTCATTTCTCTCTGCAGTTTCCTTCCCTGTCAAATGGGGATCATCCCGCCTGCCTCCTAGGAGGGTTGTCAGGGTGGAGTGGCACGCGACAGAAAGCATTTAGCACAGCCCCTGGCTCACAGCCGACGTCTAGTGGTACTGAGCTTTTATCACCAGGCGGGCCCCAGCTGCAGCTGAACAGCGAGTCACACAGTGCCATCGGGGGCTGGGACCCTGCCGGGCTCCCAAGGATGTCGCAGTGACCTGCGCGGATGACCTCCGCGTTCCGCTTGAGGAATGCTGTCTTGAGGTCACAGCTGGCATTTTCAGGGGAGCCCACGCGGCAGCCTTTCTCTGGGCTCTCGTGTACCAGGGTCCCCCGCACGCCAGCTACTGGGAGGGAGGAGGGGACACGGTCTCAGATTTAACTCCCCGTCTCATAGTTTGGTTCCTAGCCGGGCCGGGCTATTTCTCGTGAAATCGGGAACTCTGTGTCTTATTTCTTCCGCCTTTGGAAGACCAGCCTCCTACGGAGGCAGTGGAGCGTGGGGCAGGGGTCACGTGCCCAGGACTTGCGTTCCCAGCTGCTGGGGTCCGGTGGGGTCACGGTGAGTGGGGAGGTCGTGGCTGTAAGATCACAGTGCACCCGCTCGGCTGTTTATGACGCTGCTTAACGGCCTCTTTGTCTCTTTTGCAGAGAGCACGGATAACTTTGTCTCCAGTAAGTTCTACCTTCTGCTTTGAAGCTGATTTGTTCTGAGCCTTTGGGTAACTGTGGAATCCAAATGGTCCTCTTCCCTGGGCCACGCAGCCCCCAGGCCCCTGGCCGCCCAGCACGTCGTGGGAGTGAACGGAGAAAGGGGCTGCAGAGTGGACATGTGCTGCAAGCTCACCTCCTGGGCAGCCGCTTGTGCCTCAGTGTCCCCAGGGCGGGTCCTCGGCCTGACCCTGGTGTGGGTCTCCCCGCCTGGATGGAAGGGGTGGGGCGGGAAACACATGCCCCGTAGAGAGACCTTGTCCATCTCAGCTGCTCTTGAACCTGGAGCCCCTCCACCTGTTAGTGTTTTCCACCTGCTCCAGGGCCCAGAGCGTGGCCGGGCCCCACCTGGCGTGGGGTGGTGATGGACAGGGTCTCCTGTGGCCTGGTGTGTCCTCACACGGGATCACGAGGCTCAGGGTACAAATGATTGGGGCCAGGACTAGACAGTCCCCAGAGGATCTGGTGTTCTGCTCACGGGCTGTGGGAAGCATGGCTTTTCCCTCGCTCCCCGCGGGAGGGGGCTGAGACGGCGGACAGGGCTGCCTAGGACACCCGTGCTGCCTGGCACCGAGGGGAGCACAGTCTGAGATGCTTTACTTGCCCTCAGTCCTCGAGGACTTGCCCTCTCACAGAGCGGCCTTCCCGGGGACTAAGGAGGTGGTTCCAGGCGGAGGAGAAACTGACACCCGGTTCCCACCAGCCCTGCTGGTCAGCTGCACTGGCTCTTAGCCTGAGCGGCCAGTGCGCTGTGCAATCTGCAATAGGGGGATGGGTCGTGGGTTGTGTGTGGGGCTCCCGCCTCCTGGATCTCACTGAGGGTGAAAAGGGGGAGATGAAGGGCGTCGGGGAGCCACGGGTAAAAGCGGGGGGTGGGGGGGGGGGGGGAGGGGGGGGGGGGGGGGGGGGGGGGGGGGGGGGGGGGGGGGGGGGGGGGGGGGGGATGGAGAGCTTGCAGCAGAGAACAGTCAGTGACAGCCACCGTCACCACCCAAACTCGGGGAATCCGGGCCCGGGCTGGGACCCCAGACTGTCTTCTTGTTGTTGTGCTGTTTTATGCAGCAGCTCACGGTCCACGTGGCCCAGGTGCCATTCTTTGCTCGCAGAATGGGGGTGGGGGGTGAAGGCCCCGCGTTCCTCATGGAGCCGCCCCTGGGCTGTCACAGCCGGGCAACCAGGCCGGGCCTTGGTCTCTGGGGAGGTCGGGCAGTAAGAGCGGGCTCAAGGGCATGCTGTCCAGCATGGACTCTGGGCATGGGGAGCCGGTGGGGATGGCACATTACGCCCGCCCACCCCCAGCCAGGAAGCTAACCCTCCTCCTTTCCATTTGGTTTGCAGTCTATGAAGTGAGCCCCACACCGCCTATCACTGTGACCCACAAGCCAGAGGAAGACACTTTTGGGGTGAGTGACTTCTGGGTTGGGAGGGGCCATTTTCACATTTCATCCGAGCAGCGAGCAGCGGACACTCCCGATACCGCCTCGCTCAGAGCCAGGACGTACATACGTACGGCAGAAAGAGCCCTGACAGTGACCTCCTTTCAGGCGCGAGCCCTCCCTTGTTTGACGAGAGTAATTCATTGTTTGAGGAAGTCTTTGAGGGGCTGCTCCCAGCCCTGGAAACCCCCGCGCTGCTAGGAGCCTGGCTGGGCCCGATTCGAAGGGGCTGCTCGCTGGGCAAGCCTCGTAGGAAGTCCAAGTTTCCCCACCAGCTCCCTGGTGGGTGCCCAAGCCCTGCCCCACCCCTGACTGCCAGAACCTTTGATTTCTCAGGGGGAAGAGTCCAGATCTCCCGGAATTCCCTGGATAAGAGTATCTGTAGAGAACTTCAATATGAATATGCAGAATTTGCTTGCTAACCAAAACAGCAAGACGAGAGACAGAGGCCTCAGGAGGCTTCTGAGCGCATCTGTGAGGCCGCCCCCAGGCCAGAGGCTCAGAACCCTGAGTGCATCTGTGAGGCCGCCCCCAGGCCAGGGACAACCCTGAGTGAGTGCATCTGTGAGGCCGCCCCCAGGCCAGGGGCTCAGAACCCTGAGTGCATCTGTGAGGCCGCCCCCAGGCCAGGGGCTCAGAACCCTGAGTGCATCTGTGAGGCCGCCCCCAGGCCAGGGGCTCAGAACCCTGAGTGCATCTGTGAGGCCGCCCCCAGGCCAGGGGCTCAGAACCCTGAGTGCATCTGTGAGGCC